TGCATTTCACTTGCAGTAACAAAAAGTCGAGTGAGAAAATTTCGTGCAATGTATGGATGCACCCATAAACTTCGTTGTCTTCTTCTTCTCCTGATCTGCCGGTGCCACAAAATCATGAATATGTCCTCCTCGCCATTGGAACTGCTCATTTTTAGCGAAACATTTCTTTTTGAAGTTGCAAAAAATAGAGTAACTAAGTTGATCAGACGCGAGTCGACTACACGAAACGTCGACCCATATATGCGGATGACACACACTCCCGTCTCTTGAATTGTACGAATGCAGAAATTGTGACGTCATTGCAATCGCGTCGCCCATGTCGCCGATCGACCCGTGTGCGGAGGGCCTTAGGGGAACGGGTAAAAGTCACACTAAGTTTGACATCAATTTTCTCTCGAACCGATCACTCGATTCAAATTTGTTTTTTACGAATTGTAGCTTCATTCTTCACGAATACATCTGAGAAATAACCACCTCCAAACGATTCGTCTTTATATCATATACAGGGGTGTAAAGAAAATACGGATTTTTCGGTATTCTTTAAGACATCCTGTGGAGTGAACCACTGATAATTGAAACGATTTTCCAACACCAAATTGAAGCCCAATCTATTCCGAATATTTTCGTTTTTAATTCATCTTGATATCCCAATTATCCAAGAAAATATACAGTTTCAAAGAAGAGGTGGATATTGGTATTAATTTTACCACCTCGAAACTCGAACTGGGGAGAACGTGTCGTTTTTCAACTTGTTTCTGTGAGGATTTTTACTTCAAGATGAGAATTGTTCACAGTTTTACCTATCGGTTTACTGTTTAAAGACACATATATGAATACTTTCATGAATATGCAGGGGTGATAAAAGTTGCTCCAATGTTCTTTTGGTGAAATACTATTTTTGTTAATCAACGTTGGCTATTTTGTTAGTGTCATCAATTATTGTCAAAGTCGTGCGATTCACAATTCATAAATTTGATTAATGAAAATTCAATATGAGAGATTCGACTCCTACTGATGTGGCGAGGGCTGTAGCATTAATTGAAAACAGTGGGCCGATGTTCTTTTAACATAATATGAGAGCCGCATCTGCACCAATTCAATAGATGGCAGGGAAAGACTATATCGCCGAGGTGAACAAAATGAACAATTTGATTTTACTGCTTCTGTCTCCTATGGCAGAGGTTTAGTCACGGTTAGGTTGGGTGAGTCAAGAAACGACACATTTTCAGATCCAATTTGAGTTTTGAGGTGTAAAATTGATACCAATATTCATCTTTCCTTTGAAACTCTGTATTTTCTTGAATAATTGAGATATCAAGATTAATAAGAAACGAAAATATTCGGAATAGATTGGGCTCCAATTTGGTGTTGAGAAATCGTTTCAATTATAAGTGGTTCAGTCCACAGGATGTCTAAAAAAAGACCGAAAAATCCGTACTTTCCTTACACCCCTGTATATGATGGAAAGACTCATCGTTTGAAGGAAATTATTTCTCAGATGTATTCGTGAAGAATGAAGCTACATTTCGTGAAGAAAAAAATTTGAATCCAGCGATCGGTTCGAAAGAAAATTGATGTCAAACTTAGTGTAAATTTTGCCCGTTCCCCTAATTGTGCCAGTGTGTGTATATACCTACACATAAATCAATTTTGGAATATACCTCGACAATTTGGAACCCAATTTATGGTACTTATGTAGACAGGATCGAAAATATCCAACGGAAATTGATCAACAAGCTAAACTACAAGTTCAATAGAAATCAACACAACTTTTCGTATGAAAGCAATTCAAAATTTTATAAACTTCAGCATTTACGTCAGAGAAGAGAGTTTTCCGATGTTTGTCTGATATACAAACTATACAATAACCTTATCGATTCCAGATACTGTCTTCACTATGTATCCATAAATTGTTCTTCTTCTATCATTAGAAATAGAAGTCTCCTTTTGACTCCTGAAAGTAGAACAAATTACGTTCTGAATTCTCCTGTACACAGATGTGTTAAATCTCATAACTCAGCTCTGAGTGATAATAGAAATAGTAATATTGATATTTTCTCGCAATACCTTAGTCAATTCAAGAGATGTCTGAAAAAAATTATTTATTCATAAGTTCATGAAAAAACTTATATGTACCTTATTGATTACACCTCCATTGTTTCAATATACACTCACCGGCAAAATAAACCGGCCACCAAAAAATCTGCGCAAATTGTTCATCCTGTAACTTTTTTAATCCTTGTTCGATATTTGTGAAATTTCGATCAAATTGTAGATTCATGTTCCGGAATGTTAGCCTGAATATCAGTTTTCCTGAAAAGCTGATGAATTGATCATTATACAGGGAAAAACCGAAGTTACTCCTTCACCCTATACTTCTCAACGCCCTGTGGCAAAATTGCGTGATTGAACATGGCTTCATTATCCTTCGGATTGAAGTGTGATCCCTTCTTAACACAAAAGTTCTTGATTCACGTCAATATCCTATTTTCAAAAGAAGATACGAGTGTTTTAAGGAAGTATGGCGTTTTTCAACTTTTTTTACCAATAATCAGAACTTACATGAACTTATTGATTAACAACTTCAAGGATCAATATCACATATTTCTACCTTTCTTTCTTAGCACTTACGGGAAAATCAATTACAAAAAACAAATAACAAGAAGCATACCTGTAGTCAATAACGAGTATGCTCTCCTCGATATTGAATTACAGCATTCAACCGAAGTGGCATCGAATTGATCAAATTACTGAAATAGCCTTGAAGAATTGCCTAAAATCCTCCTTGAAGGGCGAATCGTAGCTCTTGAAGAGTATCTGACAAGGCTGGGTGAAGGCGAATGAGCCTCTAGAGGTCACCCCTAAGATAGAGGTAGATAAGTTCTGAATTATTGTTATTGAAAATTAAAAAAATCTATACTTTCTTGAAACACTTGTATCTTCTCTCAGAAAGGAGATATTGACGTTATTCAAGAACCGTTGTATGAAGAAGGAACAAAAGAGGATCACACTTCAATTTAAAACATGATGAAGCATTGAAGTAGAAGGTTGGAGAATGGTTCTGAATTATTGTAAATAAAAATTTTAAGAATCCATACTCTCTTGAAACACTTGTATCTTCCTTCAAAAAGTGGTTATCGACGTGAATAAAAAACCATAATGTAGAGAAGAGATCACTCTTCAATCTAAAACATAATGAAGCTAAGTTAAACCACTCACCTTTCCCACAGGGCGTTAAGAAGTAAAGGGTGAAAAAGTAACTTTCGTTTTTTCCTGTATAATTATCGAGTCATCAGATTTTCTTAGGAACTTATATTTGGGCTAACATTTGGAAACATGGATGTACGATTTGGTCAGAATTTCACCAAAATCGGACCAGCATTGAGAAAGTTACAGAGCAAACAATTTGGCTAAATTATTTGGTGGCCGGTTTTTTTTGCCGGTGAGTGTATAATATGTTTTTTCGTCATTCCATGTACATATGATTTGAAATATTTTGAGAGAATCATTTTTGTTCCTTATAATATAGACATTTGATTATTTTTTCCAGTTTTTTCTTTTCTTAAGCCACGGCAACTTGTAACTATTGTTTATTTTTGTTATCTGTGCTACTCTATTATTGGGTTTCTGACCTGTTGAGTGGCCTTAACTTGATTAAATGAATAAATGAATAAATGAATAAATGAATAAATGAATAAATGAATGAATGAATAAATGAATAAATGAATAAATGAATAAATGAATAAATGAATAAATGAATAAATGAATAAATGAATAAATGAATAAATGAATAAATGAATAAATGAATAAATGAATAAATGAATAAATGAATAAATGAATAAATGAATAAATGAATAAATGAATAAATGAATGAATGAATGAATGAATGAATGAATAAATGAATAAATGAATAAATGAATAAATGAATAAATGAATAAATGAATAAATGAATAAATGAATAAATGAATAAATGAATAAATGAATAAATGAATAAATGAATAAATGAATAAATGAATAAATGAATAAATGAATAAATGAATAAATGAATAAATGAATAAATGAATAAATGAATAAATGAATAAATGAATAAATGAATAAATGAATAAATGAATAAATGAATAAATGAATAAATGAATAAATGAATAAATGAATAAATGAATAAATGAATAAATGAATAAATGAATAAATGAATAAATGAATAAATGAATAAATGAATAAATGAATAAATGAATAAATGAATAAATGAATAAATGAATAAATGAATAAATGAATAAATGAATAAATGAATAAATGAATAAATGAATAAATGAATAAATGAATAAATGAATAAATGAATAAATGAATAAATGAATAAATGAATAAATGAATAAATGAATAAATGAATAAATAAATAAATAAAAGACTTATTTCATAGGAATGATATATGTATTTCGTTGGTATATATATGTACCTACTAACTTGATATCGACTTCCATTGATGTCCTTCAGCCTTATTATTCAATATTTCGAGAAGAAATAATTTTCTAATCAATTCATCGTACCCTTTTACCCACTCGAGGAGACGCTATGCCCTCTCATACAAAAATCAAAGAAAGAGAAAGATATATGGATGTACTCTTCCCAGGACTTGTGGAGGAAGGAAGGTGCGAGGATCCTTTATCTAAGCGAAAAACATATTCTTGACCTTGTCTGGCAAAACATGATTTGCTTCAAAATCGTTTGTGGTTATGTTTGATTGTCACGACTTGTCTAGTGTCCGCACTCTGATATACAAAAAACGTCAAAACAGCAGTGTCAAGTGCATTTAGGAACTCTAATACGAATTATTGCATGTTCTGCGTGGCATATAGCTAGTAAAATAGTTGTTTCTCTCTCGTTATCAACCATATTTGTTCATTTAATGAACTATTGTGACTTCGAGTTTCTCTCTCTTTGTGATTATCCATATTGTTCATCAATACGTATATGTCTGCATTGAATCGACTCCATTCTGTTCTCAGAACCGAAGAAAAGATCACCCCCCGTCGAACCGCCAGAAGTCGTCCTGCCACCTCCTCGCAGCCTCACGGAAGCGGAAGAGGAGTTCCTGGAGTACTTCACGGATTTCTGCAAGTACACCGACGACCCCACGAAGTACGGCATCGATACCAGGGCTAGAGCTGTCGGCGGGATGATGAGATTGGACTTCGAGGAGCGGACCTCGACCAAGCGGAGCAGATACGTGTCCAGGGTCAAGGGGGTGGATGCCCTGGAAAATTTAGTCAGGGCCAAGACGTGAAAAGTGAAATTTTATCATAAACCTATACACCTATATTTACAATTAGTTCTTAATGAAGCTTTACTCAACCTTACCTGTGTATTTTTTCACACGACTCACCTAAAAGCAGGTATTCAAGGTGGATTCATGCGTTGAATCTCGCGTTGTCAATACCTCAGTTTATGTAGTTGACTCAAGGATTTATGTCAATAGGTATTGCCAACTATCGAAATGTGGGAATATAATTTTCCTAAAAAATCACCAAAAAAAGAGCAACAAATATACACACAAATTGGAATATGGAATTCCTTTTTCTCCTTATTGAAGGACGCACTGCAAATTTCCTATGGTGCAATATTGCTTTAACTGATATTAAGGCTAATAAAGAGGCTTTCATCATTTTCATGGGTTGCGTGCAAGAACTGTCAGATGACCGACCCTGGAGCCACAACATTGAAACACAACCTCACTTTTCTTATTTGTTTACAAGTGATCAAAATAGTTTTTCACAATTATTTTGGCATAAAAATCGGCTATTCATTAATTCGCGCATGCCATCACATTGGATTGTTGTACAATGCACAAAAAATGCAGCGAGAGACGAAGGAATCCGGTTGGTACATTATAATTGGAAAGTAAGTACCTACTATAGTCACTCACATATAGTTTTCATTTCTGAAATTTGGTTATTTTCCTGATTTCTCATCGGAATTCCTTCTGCAATAGGAGCTGATAGAAATACAAGTGAAATTTCTGAAATAATGCATGAATATTGGATTCATGCAATCGATCGGGAGGAGGTCTGACATGCTGACGATCGTGTGTGTTGTAGACATTTTCAATCTATTAGCAGTATAAGCTTGTATTGCAGAAGTAGCAGAAGGCAGAAGGAATTTTAATAACGAATGACAACATTTCATAATGTGAGATTACTATTTACCTGAAAAATCATATTCCTTCGTCTTTCGCTGCATTTTTTGTGCATTGTAAAGCATGATTGAATTAATGAATAGCGCAAAAAACACGATTCGTATGCCAAAATATTGTGAAAAACTATTTCGATCCTTTGATTCCTCTGTAAACAAATGAGAAAGTGAGGTTGTGTTTCAATATTTTGCCTCCAGGGTCGGTCATCGTGCACGCGACCTATTCTGAATAAAAAACTAGTTTTTAGGCAAGAGGTATAATATTTTCTGTTCATTGGTCCAAAATCTGTTTGCCTGTCAGTGAAGTTAGTTTACTGACAATATCTAGAGCTCAATTGTGTAGCATGTAAATTTTCATTACTGTATATTTTGTCTGATTCTATAATATTCTGTACTGCTGAGCACATCTGACAGGATATTTTGTCACAATTTCATGGTTTACATTTTTCAACAACATAAATTGAACTCAATCTGTTTTATATTATTTAATTATTCTCAAACCTGATATGTGGATACACACCTGAGATTTCACACTGTTCATAAAATAAAAATACAATTTCTATAAATACACTGATATCTCTTGCTATATCTGCTTTGTTGTGATCCAAGTAGAAGGATGATTCGGATGGTTTTTACAGAAACTTATCTGAAAGAGATAAATAATATAAAGTAATATGAAATACCTTTTCAGAGACATTCTCATACTCACTTTTCACACTGCTATTTCCACTTGAAACTTCATCACAGTAGGACGGTAGGTATTGGATTTGGAATACTGAGGCGTATGGTTTCACTAGGAATCGACCATGGTGAATCAATTAACTTCGTTTGGCATTATTTTCTTGATTGATGCATTTGATAAATTCAGGTTGATGTTTTGATCTTGTTGAGTTGATCTGTTATTTCGCTTTACGTCAATTAGCTGTCGGTCATGACACCATGTCAACAGTGTCAAACTTGTCATGCGCCAAACGCCGATTCGGATTGATATGTCCTTAGATCATCATCGTCGAACCAACAAGACGAGTATTTGTGAAGAAAGGTGTGACGTCATTTTAGTCATCAATTCTGATTGGTTCAGATAGTCATCTGGGAAGAATCAAGTCTCTGGAGGGAGTAGCGATAACGTCTTTTATTTTGGATATTCAAATTTTCCGCCAATTTGGAAAGCGGAAACTGTTAAGTTGTTCTCGAAGTTTCTGGAAATTTGGAGAAGGGATTTCCTTTCTGGTCGTGAGACAAGAGCTCACTTCAGAAAATTCTTCGTGGTGGTCAAGTGCCATTTTTGTGGTGTGAACCGGCTTCTGAAGTCCTGTGCCGCCTGGCGTTCTGGATCACATCAGGATATCCTGGATTTGCTGCTGATCTACAAGGACTGCTGGACTCTACAGATTCTTCTGGTTTTGGTTTAAGAGGCAGGATCTTCATGGTTCATCACCCAGGCAGCCACGTGCCTACCTTCATCGTCATTTCAATCCCTAACCCTTCATAGAAAATGAGTCTCGCTTTATTTCGACGATTTTTCTCTCTGCAGTCCAGAAATTCAGAACCTCATTTCATGAATTATTTAAGGGTTTTTTTTCACCGGGAGTTTTCTACCGGGAGTTTTCTACCGGGAGTTTCTTTACTGGAGTTCTACAACGGGAGTTATCCTACCAGGAGCACTATTCTTCCCAGGAGTCATTGCTCGACCAGGATCTGTTAATTCTACAGGGCCTTTGGTGGCTATATAGTAGTCTGGAATCTGGATATCGTCCCCTGTTTGTTCCTGATATGATGGATTTTCAAGGAGGAAATACAACTCTGTCAATGTCATCTGACATCCAGGGATGTGAAGTCAGCACCCCGCTCTCCGCCAACCTTCCCCGCAGCAGTTTCATCTGGTGGCACTAAAGCCATTTATCAAGGACAACTGGTGTAGGACACACCATACAGGTTTTTGACATAAAAATATATTTTTATTTTTCATTTTTATTCACTCATAATGCCCATTGCTAGTGTGTATAATGGACCATTTTAAAATCATAGCCAGGTCATAAATTGATGAAATCACACATGAAAGGTATATACTTCCCCTCCACATAGTATACTATGCGCTGGTAGAATTCTTCCATATATAATATTTTTTTAAAATCTGCTATGACTATAAAACGTCCTTACAGGAGCTCTTGAGTTTTCAAGTACAATATAAAGTTGATTTATATATATTTCCATCCACATAATAGCAGGCAACAGTGTATTTTCTTAACAGGAATAGGTATCTAATATTTTTTTGATTTATGCATATTTGTCAATACCTGTGATATATGGTCCTATCATCATAATTAAATGTTTTGGGTATTGTATATGACTGTTTTATTTGTTTATTGACATGACACTCCAACTCACAACATCTCTATAAGGTAAATTTAGGTCTTTCAGTCTGGGATAACAACTAATATTATTCATTATCTAGTTGCTCAACTTTCCAGGTAACTTTTCTTTTGAATTAAAAGTTGCAGTGGCGCCCCATCTTTTTTGTTCAACCTTATGATTGCTAGATAACTGAAATTTTGCTATTTTAACTCATTTTGATAACTCGAACCCATAGTGCCTACTGACGAAGAGCTGCCGTTCGCAAATGCACCTATTTTTCATAAAAGTAGGGCTGCAATTGTTCGAATAGGTCGCGTGCACGATGACCGACCCTGGAGGTAAAATATTAAAATATTGAAACACAACCTCACTTTTCTGTAGAACATTGAAACACAATCTCACTTTTTTTATTTGTTTACAGAGTAATCATGGGAATCGAATAGTTTTTCACAATATTTTGGCATACGAATCGTGTTTTTTGCGATGTCTGTCTGTCTGTCATTGTCTGTTGTACAATACAAAAAAATGCAGCGAGAGATGAAGCAATATGATTTTCTAGGTAAATAGTAATCTCACATAGTTTTCATTATAAAATTTTGTCATCTATTATTGAAATTCCTTCTGCCACTTCTGCAATAGAATAGATTGAAGATGTCTACAACACACACGATCATATTTCGTCAGCATGTCAGACCAGTTCCCCCGTATCCAATCTTCTTGCATTCTTTTAGAAATTTCACGAAAATTTCTATTAGCTTCTATTGCAGACGGAATCCCGATGAGAAATCAGAGAAATGACCAATTCGTCATTTCTATTAAAATTCCTTTTACCACTTCTGCAATAGAAGCTATAATACTCCTAATAGATTGAAAATGTCTACTACACACACGATCATATTTCGTCAGCATGTCAGACCAGTCCTCCCGTATGATTACCAAATTTCATAATGAAAACTATATGTGATTCCTTCGTCTCTCGCTGCATTTTTTGTGCATTGTTCATTTGATTGTCTAATTTCAAGTTCGTTAGTTGTTGGTTTGTTATTTGTTTTATTTTGGAGCTCCATATTGTATTTCTACAAGAGGTGGAAGTATGTGATTTCTTCAACACTCCTTTCTCAACGATGACGTGATTTTGGGGCAACATGCAATGACTTCCAACAACAACAGGAGCGGTGTCCGAGTTTATGATTTATGGTTGTTATCCTGGCAGCACCTCTCAGCGCCCTAGAAGTGGTTGAGGTTCCACTATGAACTGTAGTTCCCACTCTTCCTAACCCAGCACAAGTTTCGACTTCTGGGGAGTTGGTTCCCGACTTCGAAGTACCAATGTACAAATCTTACAAACATTTCACAAAAACATCTTGTGAGAGTTTCTGCTTGAGCCACATGGTTGGTTCCATATGAGTTGGACAAATTCCGACCTTCTCCTGCGTCCCCAGATAGGTATATTGTGGCTCACCCCCTAGAGGTTACAGTTCACTGTAACCTCTAAGCAAGAGCATGAAGATAATATATGTTCATCCGTTTCGTCTTCCACACAGCCATAGATTAACGACTCCTCAACCGACAGTCCGTTTGTTGGTTCAGTCAATGAAGTAATATATGGCGTAAAGTACGCTTTTGTTTCAGAAATTTTACTCGACCTCTCGAGAACAGCGAGAGCAATGGTTCTGTCGATCTTCTAATAGGTGGCGACATTGCACAATTATGACATCTGTCAGTTTTGAAATTGTCGCAGATTTTTTGAATTTAGAGTTGAATAATCCCACTGTTACATAATTATGTTCCGCGTACCTAAAATGCTATTCGCCATTCAATTTCCACTCATCACAGCAGCAATAGCAGCATCACCATCTAGCGGGAAAATGTAGAATCAACGTCTCGATCGTTGTGACGTAGAGAAATCATAGTAGGCGGTCGATTGATTTTCTGATATTTTCAATACGTAATAATGGCCGAATGCGCGCACCATATCTTACTTCCATCATTGTTCAGACCCATCTTTTCCAGGTGGTATCATAGATGACAGTGTCCCATAAGCAGTCCTGTCAGAATCCGCAGGTTATTCCTGCTTTATTCTGGGAGCTGCCTGGTTATATTTTATTTCAAAGTTCGAAACCTCCTTACTTCTTGGAAGATGGAGGAAACTGGAATCAAACCACCTGGATTCGTTTGATGGAGTATAATGAGCAATGAAGTTGAATAACCAGTAATAAAAATTATATTTTAATGAGAAAATCATCGAAAACAAAAAATAAGTCCAAAGATTTGAGGAAAAACTGGGGAATATCCACATAAATTGTCAAAAGAGAGAAATGTTTACTCGCAGATATCTGCTCTGGTATATATTACTTCATTCTTGTCTGACTAGAGGCGGTAAGTTGTCATATAGTACATCTACCATCTCTATAATTTGATAATTTTCTATAAATTCCACGCGATATGGGTAGGAATCATCAGGTAGAAATCTCATTATGTTATTTCTATCACTCAGACGTACTCGACACACCCTTTTGCCATCAATCTCGAAATTTTTCGAACAACTCTTTATCAAAACTCGTTTGTACATAGAACGGCAGAGCTGTGGAAGATTTCGGCATTCTAGTTCTCGTTGTGTAAAGTTGGCTCAGCCAATGCTTTCTGTCTTTGAGAACCTATACCTACATTTGGTAAACATTCATTCCCGATAGCCCGTTTTACAAATAGGATGACGTTAATTTCTTTCTCTAATATTCTTGTACGATTTTTTCTTTAATACGCTCCAAAAGATGATGAAAAGGTGGCCGTATCTCTTTTTTTTCTCATCTTTTGTTTGCCTGAGAGTTTACTTTGAGCTTTTGACAGTGTAAAAACAACCTATTAAAATCACAATGGAATCTGCATTCAAGCAAGCACAAAGCTTGGACGTTCCCCTTCCTTCACATTTTTGAAGTGGACATTTCGCGTTTTTTCCATGTGTACGTATTTTCGAACGAGCATGAGTGATTGATAATTGCACTGAATATACAGATATCAAGATTCATTTTCAATAAAAGATTTGGATCCATATTTTGTTGGTCAGTCAGATGAGGCTTACAAATTATTCGACTTTCGGCCTAAATGAATAAATGATCTAGAAAAAAGCTCACTTTGAAATTTTCAGTCATCCAAACATTGTATAGTTTCGGAAACAATGTTATTGCTGAAACATATATTTTATAGGATACTTGTAAAGTCTTGAGAATATTTCCGATGAGACCATCTTTCGATCCATAATTATATCCAAAATAATTGCAAAACTGTTTTCCCTACAACTCGTAATGTGCGAGAGGCTAAATTCATTTATTCAGTTTTTCTCCATGCCCAAGTTTAATTCACATTGAATAAACTGTAATTTCAATAGGTACCAGCTGAATACTGTACAACATATATAATGGGCTTATATCACAAAAAAAAATTATTTCATAATTCGATAGAGCTCACCCAAACTAGCTCACCACCGCAAACCGTTTCTTGCTGTGAGCTCCCTTCGTTTTATAAAAAATTATTGAAATCCCCGATTTTTCGGACCTCTGAAAACGAGGCGATGATGTGACGTCAATACCCTTATACTGAAACAAGACTATTCCAGACAGAGATGAATGATACATGATTTCTGACAGAGTGAATTAGCGCGAGATCACAGTTGAAAGAATTAATATATCAGTTGCCTGAGTTGCCTCAGTCTCCGTCGGGCGTTTGGTATTTTCTTTTAACTATGGCGAGATGAGGTTTCTACGTCATAAGAGAGGGTCCGTTTTCAGAAGGTACTATTATTTATGTCCAAAAATGAAACATTCCAGTTAATTTTTCGATCGAATTATGTCGTCAATCATTATTTATGTATAAAAGGATCATTATAAACATGGTTTGAGTTAAAAGTTATACTAAGGTGTACACGCCCATTATTGTAACTTGCTGCCCCTGAGATACTTCTGCGGACGCCCCTGCTTCAACGTATTCAATGACAGCTTTCAGAGCTTGTCATGAAATACAAGTGTTAACTAATGATATATTGCGGATTTTTTGTGTAATTTTTTTCACATGAAATCTAAGATGGACGGAAGATCTCAATTGAGCCAGAATAAGAGCCAAAAATCTAAATTAGAAATGTCGTGGACTGACCAGAAATCCGCTAGTCAAGAATCGTTGCCTGACCAGCTGGGCATCGTATCTCAGTCAATCACCACCGATAGGGATGAGGTGGAAGTGGCTAGACTCATATCGCGTAAAAACAAAACTTTGTTGCGCAAACGCATACCCAAGCAATCTGTCGTCAAACCAGAACCGAAATCCCAGCAGTTCTACTTCACTGCTAGTCCAAAAGTCGACCAAGAAGCTGATGCCAAACCGTTGCCTTATGGATACACGAAGGGGCTTGAAGAGTTCGCACACAAAGTTTTGATGAAGGTATAGGTGACTGAACTTTCAGTAATAGTTTGAAGAATGAACCTCATATGTTTTTCATATTTTTTTCCACCCATCTATATTCATTCTTCGAATTTCTGATTCATTATCTCAAAAATAGAAGTTGACAATGTAGAGGAGCACAAAATAATCTCTTCAACAAATCTGATGATTGAGTTCTCATTTGATCTACTGCTCAATCTGCAGCCGCAACTTGTCCTCCCCGCACTATTGGTGAGGTTGGGGCTTTAGGAGAGAAGGAAAGAAGAAAAATTGGCCAAGAGAGGCCGATTTGCCGACTATACTTCAACAGGAATTTTTTCGTCCTTAGTACATAACTTGGTACATAAATAAGTATAATAGCTGCCTTGAGACATGTGGGGAGAATATTACATAAAATTACGAGAAAAAAGCTGCTTATGTGTGGTAGTCTAATGAGAAATTATGAGAGTTGAGACTGTGAGGCTCTAATTAACAGTTGCAACTGATGTAAATTAGGCAAAAGAAACTTTTGAGGTTTCAAAACATGCCCCAGTTACAGTTATAGTTGCAACTGTGAATTAGGCAAATATTCCCAAAAAAAAAAGTTTTTTCAGGGGGTCAGTTCAGACGCGTCGTAAAAATCTACATCAGAGCGATCGATTTCACAATTTTCCCCTTGCCTTTTTTTGCCATTGTGTGTACTCGTAGTTCAAATGCAACGTTGATGATGATGATGTGGGTTGTTTTCTCTATACACCCCAGGCAACCAGATCACGTTTCAGTGACGTCTGTTTACGTCAGTTGAATGACCAAGGTGACGTCAGGAGTTGACATCGTATGATGTGATAAATGACGTGAATAAGTTACAGACCAATGACGTCATATAACTCACGTTTATTGACGTCATTCACTCACCAGACTATGACGTCAGACTGACGTCGAAATGACGTCAAAATGACGTTCAAATTTGGTGATGACACGTGAAAAAGCTTCCTCGATTATGGTGTGATAATCTCCACTGACTTCTGATGACATATAATATTAATTATGCATTGTTGAGTTTGCTTGGTGGTCCTCCGCTGTCATGTTTATTCAATCGTCTATTCAGCAGCGCTATCCCTCAGTACGCATCTCCATCAGAATGAAATCAATAACTCCCTATTTGTATCAAAAATTATGTTGTTTGTGTCGGTGAGATGTAAGCAAACCAAGAATTTGATAGCAATGAAAAAGATGTGGTCAAGTTTAGCTTCACTTTGTTGAGTAACGTATATTCATACATCATTTGTCACCCAACAAAAATCTGAATAGCAAAATATTGAAAAAATTTCTGAATGACGAAGCTCACCAAATTGGTACGTCACACCGACGTGATTTTTAGACGTCATAGATACGTCTCTGCAACGTCATAAAAGTGACGGTTTCATTATAGGTACACCTACACTGAGGAAAATTGTGCTATTAGAGTTTTTACCATTACAAGAAATCATATTACCGTTATTAACTTTCGAATAGGAGCAGCACCTTCAAATCCTATAATAGCAAAAACGACTTTGCTGAAAGTGAATTTCCTGCCACACGAAGGTATACAGCTGTCGCTATCAGGCAGCCACTCTGCAGCATGTTTTTTTTTTATAATAATTGTCTAGCTGAACTACTACTAGTGAGTTATATGCTTGTGGCTGCGAGGTTCATCGCATAGAACTGCACTCACTACCAATAATACAACTGTCAGTCTGCTACGAAAATAATATTTGACGAACCTGCTTGGGGTTATTTAGCGCCTACTTATCGTTATTCGATATTTTGCTGATTTGTTCCCTTCTATATAAGCATTTGTCAGACATCTTGCTTGATCAATCATTCACAGTTGGGCTCTTGATGCAAACCCATGTACAGGGCGACCAACTCGACGACACGACAGTTACGAATACTTTCTCTCTTGAATTTAATTCATTATTTAAAATCTGAATCTGAATCCAAATATAAAATGGAAACATTTTTGAAAAAATAAAAAAATCTTCTGTGCCCCTTTCAGTGTTTTCGTAGATCTGAGTGCTTCAGTTATTACAAGGGTTGATGGAATGATAAAGGTGAGTTTTTTCGAGGTATTTCGACTGAAATTCAAATACTTTACATTCGACATTCCCTTCTTTTTGGTACCATGAAACTTTAAAATTGTCAAATATGTTCCAGAGCTTCTCAATAGAATGTGGTCTGATGTGAGCAAAAATGTCCAGGTTATGGAATTATTCGAATGCTTTTACTGGTAACATTTTGTTTTCCTGTACGCATCTGTAATAACTTGCCTAGTTTTCGAAATACAATGGTTTCCTAAATATAAAATTACCTAGACGTACATACATGTTTTTGTATACCTACTTATGTGTGTAAAATTGATGGAAAAACGATATTTTCTGACAATTTTTGGCACTGAAAATGCCCATCCTGTATATATAGGTACGTCACTAACCTAACGGTTGCACATGGTAATGTGAGTATACATGGTTTAGATATGGTCTGGGAACCATAACCATGAACGTCGTCAGGACGTCCCTGCAACGTCATGAAACTGACGTCTTATTTTACCCTTCTAAGTGACGTTCACTCGACGTCGAGATGATGACATGATTATCGTGTCATAGAAAGTACGTCATAGTAACGTCATATATTGGTGTGTGACGTCTCTGACGAAAAATCACCAATTAGGGACATCACAGTGACGTGATCATTCGTCATCTGGTTGCCTGGGACCCGGTATATCTACGAATTATTCGAGGATTGATTGAACAAAGTAAAACTTTGCCGATTTAGGCTTGGAGGGATGATGTGAGGGTGAAAGAACTGGCCGTGAAGTGCTTCGAGAAGCCCAGTTATAGAAATAGGAATCAGTTGGACCTTATGAAGAGGTTGTATGTGAAGGACCCGCCAGAGACTAAAATGAAGACTATTCTGGACGTTGATCCGAATTATTTCACGATTGTTCAAGGTAATATACGACGGTGTAATAGCGCCATATTGATTCATTTATTTTTCATTGTGATCTACAAATTGCAAGATTATTTCTCACACTTATTTGGAGATTTTTTTCAATATTTAGATTGTTTTCCCTGATTCCACATGAGCAGTTTATCACTATCTATTTGTTGTTTTCTGGTAGGAACCTACCTAACGTTTTACGATTCGCGTAAGTGAATTAGTGTTAGTATTTTTTTGCCTAATCTCCTATGAAAAATATCACGAATGGAAATTCCCTAATTGATACTTCTTCAATATAATAATAATAATAATAATAATTACAATAACATTTATTGATCCCAAGAAACACACGATGTTTATAAATAAATCAAATATGCAATACAATGAAAGATAAACAGTTTAATCAGAATTAATTGATATATGGAGAGAGTTAAATTGATAAAATATATTTCTTCAGTTCACACTTAAATTTTGTGACGAACCTACTAATAGATTTTATTCTGTTGGGTAGACTATTAAAAATATTCATTCCACAAAAATACAATGATTTTTCCCGAATTGGGTTTTTATTTTGATGTTCAAGTTTTTTTTCAGCATTTCTGGAAATCCCATCATACCTCACTTCAAAGGGAAGACAATATATCAAAGTTGGAGAGATAATAAAATGCAGGTTGTTCCATTAAACATTGTATAAGTTTGAGTCGTATCTTCTGAATTTCGTTTCTGATTTTGCTCAAAATTTGCTGTTGGACGTAAGCGTGACGTCATTTTTAATTACTTCGTAGATATACGAAAACAGTTTCAAATCTTAGAAACCATCCACATCACTCAAAGTGGTCCAATTGATTTTCGGAAGACTGGAAACCGTTTTGCAAAATCAGATTTGGCCATCTTGACTTTCACAAAACAGTAGAACTGGACCGTGAAAAGGATTAAACTACACTGACCAAAATTATTCAGTTAAGGTGAGTTCCCAATGCAGAATTTTTGCTTTTCGCGTCACGCGTCACTCAGTCTGATTGGTGACACGTAATTGAAAATTGCTGCACTGTTTTTTATTATTATCTCCAGTTCCCAATGAAATTATCAATCATTGTCGCTTTGGTTGAGGTTTGTACTGAAAAATCATGAGAATTCTAAGAATATAGGATATTAATTGCAAGATACACAGAGCTGCGCCAGATGAGTACTTGAAAAAATAAACGAGAATAGCACAGTGAAAATACGATAACTAGGTAGGTACTTCAGTGATACTGCAATGATTCAACTAACGATGAGATTGATTACACTCTCAGAATTCATCAAAAATCCTGTGTTGAAACAATTGATGATGAATATTGAGGTTTCTGGAACTTAACCTCAACTCAACACAAAGCAGCAACGCCAAAAAGTTGAAATATTATTACTTCATCATGTCAAATATTTTTCAAACTCAGCGACACCAATCAAGTTGCATGAATCTCGACGCATGAAGCAAAAACGTTGCATTGAGAACTCACCTTTAGAATACAGTCATTAGTCAGCTTTCCAAAAGACGGTCCAATTACTTGTGAGAAGCACTACTGTACAGGGCTAAGCGGAAGTCGATGTTGCAGCTCCATTATAAGAAGATCAAAATGATATAAATGCATGACATCATCCTAGGCAGACCCATCCCAGATAAGTTGAGCACCCAAGACTACATCCGAACCCTCCGCGAATCCCTCCGAACGAAAATCATCAACGGCTACCGCGAAGACGACATCATCCTGCTCGACGAGAACCTGGTCCTCGAGCAGCACATGATCGACCTCATCCAGAAGAACTACCAGACCTATGTCAACATCTTCGAGGAGTTCCTCTTCAAGGACCACACGACCGCCATGGACCTGCTGCGGGACGCCGAGAAAGCAGCAGACGAGGCCTACGACAAGTGGGAGGCGCTGAAGAAGCTGTCGAGGAAGTACGCGGCCGCCAGGTCTTCGTTGTACACGTCCGAGGGCAAGTGGAGGAACGCGAAGACTTACCAGAAGTTCCTCATGCAGATGAGTCCTCTCGAATGGAGGGAACGCCAAGGTCAGTTACAGCTAGAGTTCCTTGATGTACTTGACACTTTTGTTTCGTCGGCTTTGTGTATTGAGGGTAGGGACACTCTGACCGCTGACTTAATGAATAACTAGACCGCTTCATGTCATAATCCAGGAACCTGATAATATCATCCAAAGTGCTCGCCTGAAAACGCTTCTGCTCAATGCCTAGGAACCGCCAACACAATGCGTAGGAACCGTCAAAGGGCCAAACTATCGTTCATGACATCGAGTCATCTTGGTGTTGGCAAACATAACTAAGAGCGAAAAATATTAATGACAGGTCCTGAAGGCGCACGTTTTGTCTGCCCAAGCATCTGGTAAATGAATTATTTCAGATTTGGTGACACATAAATTTCTCTTATCTACCAAGATTGACACATTCGACGGCGTTCCTAACTGAAATATGGAAAAATATCACCAAGCAAATCCTGATCGAATGAAGTAGAAGTAGTACAGGACACTTTATTTTAAGATATACCATCTAGAATGAATACTCGTTAGAAATAACTAAAGGACTGTTGGTTCTGCTGTGTGGACAGCGAAATAGTTTAACTCATAGTATGTTCATGTTCTTGTACAGACAGTAATCCTGATCCATATAGAATAAAAGTTCGTGCCCAACTTGGAAACTCTGACCACACCCTCATCTCCACAACCTGCTCTTTCCATGTACCATATAGCTTTACAATTTCTACCGGTCGCATGTGCCATTACAATTCGGCCGACTGGGAAGGTCCTCGTATGTTTGTTTCAGCGTTTCCAAGGGAGAGAGTGTTTGTTTCTCCCCAGCAGATCCAGCACAAAAATTCATTTTGTTTCCATTCTAGGAAAGTAGAGTGAGAGAGTGAATCTGATACATGGGAGACCAAATAATAGATGCATACTCCAACTGAGATAACACAAGTGATAGCTTCTATTGATGAACCTGATCAATTGCGCGTAATTTAACCTAGTACTTCAGATGACTTCACACTAACAACAAATCTAAGCTGCCCATCGAAAACTACTCCTAAATCTTCTTTAGAGGATATGTATTCTACTTGTAGATTACTAATGTTGTAAGAAGTATCAAATTGTCTACCGACTTTCGAGAACGAGATAAAGTAGCATTTATTGACATTGAGATACAATAAGTTGTCAACAACACAACATTCATACATTCTATTGAGATTTGCTTGAAGGAGAACTTGGTCACTCATAGACTTGACAGGCCTAAACAACTTCAAGTCAACAGCAAACATGAAGAAATCACAGTTTATGAAAAAGCTACCAATATCATTCACAAAAATATTGAATAGGAGTGGTGAACAGTGCGGTCGTTGAGGGACCCCAGATGTTAATATAGTTGAGATTCAGCGGGCAGTAAATTTGAACTTGCAGAGTATGCGGCCTCTATATATGATGGAATCTGGTAGCTCGTGTTCAGATCAGCTCATTTCAACTGCTTTCAAACCTATTTATGATTTGATGAAGTGACGGTGTTTCTAGATTTTTGCTGATAGAAACTGAGTAAAAATCTGACATCATGTCAAAGTTGACAAGTGCACTTGATGTTGCTTGACAATTATACAAGGTATTCTCCTTTGAAACCGTGAAATTATTTTTTTGTTTTGAGGTGAAATTCAAATATCGGGAAGAACGGTTGAAAAGTAAAAGGGATAACGGCTTCTTATATAGTGCATCAAATAGTCTACAGCAACTAAAATGAATATAAATGTTCCATACCAGTGTGATTATTGGGTAGTTTTACTTATCCGCACGCTGTGCGGATAATACCCATATCCGCGCACTGAGTGCCAAAAAGTATTACTTTGCGCACGCAAATAAGTGCGGAAAAGTACTAGTTTGTGCACGCTCGTAGGAAAAAATATTTATTGATCTGTATTCTCCGATTTTGACTTGTGTACCACCCGTCAAAAAATGTTCTGACATATTGTGAAAGAAATGATTATTCCTCGATATCTTTTCTCCATTCGAGAGGTTATTTTATATTTACACTAATCTATACTTTCTCTTCAGGAACTTTCCACAGGGCCAGCGCCTTCATGATCGATGACGATCCCAACGACCCTGACGACGAAGAGAACATCTTCGGCAAGTACAGGGCGTCTTTGGTGGAAAAGGGTGTTTCCCTCCAAGACATCCTCAACGTTTTCCGATCCGAATGCCAAATCGACACCCCTCCTGCTCTTTATTTCGAGCACCCCCAACAGCTGATAGACGCGTTCAGGTCATTGATGTTTTATGATGCACTCTTTCAAATACCGTCAATTTAATATTCCAGATTTTTTTGGAATTGTCTCTCCTCGTCTCTATGAAATGAAAATATGAATACTATTTCAATACAGACAAATCAGATGATTTGCCCCAAAATGTCACTGCGTTTGAAGAATTTTCCTATCAGAGAGCCTGAAAGAAAAATTCACTAGCTTGTCAGTGACAATTTGTATTGAAAAAGGTTCGGAAAAGAGAAATAAAGGTAATATAAAATTTCACTCATCTTTGGACGTTTCGGGAACGAATCTGCTCCCGCATTCAACATGAAAATGGATTTTTTGTATGGCAAAGCCTTCGGAAATTAAGTATAAAAATTCTTTCAATATATGCATGGGAAATTTATTTTCTGCAAATGTGAGAAAGAATGCAGCACTTCGTGTTGATGATGCCGGAAAGCATGATTCATATAATAATGAAAAAAATTTTCACGGAGATTATTCCCAAAATCGAAACATTATTCGAGATGGGTGGTGCATAGTATGTTTGCTTCACTTTCCACTACAACGTTAACAAGTATTAATCACCTGAGGAGAAAAAGGGCAGTGGTTCAGCAGGATAACTTATCTCAACTTCAGACCCTTTGAGGAGGTGTAGGATTCAATACATCAATCACTTTATGTACCATTTTCATTTCATTCATTCGAAAATATTGCTGAAAACTAAAAATTCTTCGAAATACTGATGATTTGCTCTAAATTTGAATGATATAACGGAAAATTTGCAATGCTTATGAAGGATGGAGGTGACTTTTATTCTTAATAGTAGACAATTCACTAGTATTCATAGGATCGAATGTTGTTCTTTAATCTACCAGTGCTTCATGCTGTAACTTCTGAGAAACTATAACAAGGTCAGAAATCTTGGCGAAGTCAAAAATTTGGTCTTTTCTCGAGTACCTACCTCAACAAACGTAAAAATCAGAACTTCCTGACGACGTTCGACTGGATTATAATAAAACTCTAGAAACAACTAATCTACATTGAAAACAATTAGCGTGCAATTTTGATAGTACATGAAATTTCCAGCGCCATCTTTTAGATCGCGATTTTCTGGAAATATATACATACACTTCTCCGAGAAATTAACGCAGCACCAAGAGGAGGCAACAGTTCAGGAAACATTTTCGTCAAAACAACTTGCCCGATTTGGACGTTTTTTGTTTTGAATGACAGGTTATTCCGATCTGAACATTGGTGTTGATAACTATTTTCGCATAAGAGCCTTTTTTTATGAATACCGGGTGAAGCAATCATAGCATGTTTTGTTTCATGAAATTTGTAATACCCTGTGGAGTGTAACAGTAACGTTATCAAGTTGGAATTGAAAGTACCTTTAGCCTCATATTTATTCAACATTTATTTTTTAAATTCACTGCATTATCTTTCCTATTTCTCCAGAAACCCAATTTTATAGCATAACATGATTTTATTGAATTCCATTTGCATTATAAGCACGAAAGTAGCAGGCTATGCTCTGGGAAGGCATTTTTTTGACTGGTCGCATGGAATTCGTGATCATAAAATAAATGGAAGCCTTACAGCTGAAACGTACATATCGGTGATTTTTTTTGATGCAAGATAATGCCAGGCCTCTCCTCGCCAGATTTCTAAGACATTCTGTATCGCTACCATGTCATTGAAAATCTCTGGGACATTCTTCAAACAGTATCACAAGAGGAACATAATTTGAATACTTTGGAAAAAGAACGGCATAAACGTGTAGAGACTGAGGATTCAAATTTGGGAAGACCTGGACCATTGTCGATCTGAATGAAAACCTAGTAGGCGACCTAGTTCGCGAGGAGGTACAATACTCTTGCCTACTAACAACCTAACTAGGTTGTCACCTAGAACGATAATGCCTAGACCAACATGACATTAGGTCTCTTATTTTGGGTATGGGCCGTCCTTGCCAAGAAGTTTTTCGTGCCAGCGATGGAAACACTCGCAAGTTCAATTGTGATTTCAATTCCAACTCGATAGTGTAAATATTACACTCTACAGAGTATTACAAATTTCATGAAAAAAACACGCTGGCAATTTGCTTCACCCGGTATATATTGAAAAGAGGTTTTTATGCGAATACAGTTTGCACACCAATGTTCGGAAGCAAATAACCTGTCATTCAAAATAAAGAACGTCCTAATCAGACAAGTACTTTTGATGAAAATGTTTCCTAAACTTTTAGCTACTTTTTGGTGGTGCGTTAATTTCTTGGAGAAGTGTATTATAACCTTGATTATCTACACTAGTGTGAATACTCAATGATAATAACCTTGATTATATCCCTAATAGCACACATCGTCCTAGGGACGCCCCTATTTGGTACAATACACGTCCGAATGTCCCGAACCAAAATTAAGTGTCCTTGGGACGTCCCATCCCATACATCTCATGCATTGTCCGAGCAAGAACGTCCACGGAATGTCCCAGCTGGTACATCATTTCAAATGTACATATTCTGGTATGACTTCAGATCTTATATAATGTCCCTTCTAGACAACCTTGAAATGTCCCTGATAGTACATTCCTTCAAATATCTCTGCACAGACGACCTTGATATTTCCAGGATCGTATAACAATCGAAATGTCCCTTAGGGACATCCTTCGGATGTCCCAATTGGTACATAAACTGTACTCTTCCAATGTCCTAGAAATAACGTCCTATGGACGTCCCAGTCGGTACTTTCAATTTGTTGTCCCTGCGAGGACGTTAACGTACACCTCGCCAACGAATGATTGCTCGTGGGCTATAAGTAGGTACTCCTCGTCAATGTCCTTCACGTAAGTCCATTGGACATCCTTGTGAAACTTTTCGGAGACCTTCCACGGACCATCAACTTAACTGGATGTCCTAATCAGTTATGCAAGATCTGGTCCTAGAGGGACCCAGAAAAATTCAAATTCAAGAATAATTCGTACGTCCCTGGGACATCCTATCGACATCCAATTGATATCCCTCAGCGTTGCTGATAGGTTGTCCTATGGATGTCCTAAGGATATCCTCTGTAGTGCTTGATGAGGAATACTGTAGGATTAAGGTATTCGATAGTCGTCCCAGTGACATCCCTCAAGAACGTCCCTAGTTGGTTCTCAAGTGCGACATTTGTGCGTCCCACAGACGTCCAATGGACGTCCACGGTACCAAATTCGAACGTCCTGTGGACGTCCTGGGACATAAGTGTGTTATTAGGGATACACTAGTATAATAATATAATGTGATTTATCTCCTTCAGGTTCATGGAGATGCAGAATCTGAATTCGCTGTTGCATTCCGAGGAGTTGGCTGTTCCTCTGAACGCGATCCAACGTGGAATGGAGGTTGCCAATATGTTGTTCGACAACCAGATAAGTAACTTGCAGGGTGAAGTCAAAGATCTGGAGGACGGGATACTGTGAGTTCAATAGGTCATTGGCTGAACGAATATTAACAATAATCATCATTTTTTCACGTTTCTAAACCCGAGAATTTGGCTCACTTGAATTCGAAAGGAAATCGAAACGACTATCTAAGATGTAATAGACTTTTCTCCTGAATGACTTCTTTTCTATTTCTAGATGTATCATGTACAGCTACGTCGCAATGGTCATTCAATAGCATGTGCAGTGGAAAATTTTGTTTCAATATCTTAAAGTTCTTTTACTTTTCAAAACTCTGTACAATTTCTTGATAATTGATTAATTGCATTGGGGCTAACGACATTCTCCGTGACTAATATTAAAAACAATCACCATTCCACTGTCAACGTTGAGAAGTTCACCAGATGGAACAATCTCTTGGAAATGAAGCAATGGAAAGTATTGAGAAGAGAAATTATCAATTTCAAAGGATTATTATTTTCATGTTCTCTTTTTGGATGTTCAACAGATATAATTCAATGTTCGACTTGGCAAATAGCCAGGAAAGTAGTTGTTTTTTGTTGAATATTCAGAATGATATTACGTGCATATATATTTTTATCTGATATGAAGATGAATGGAAATTCTTGACTTCAGAAGGTTTTTTTTCAGATTCTTATCGTGTGTTCAATAGATATAATTCAATGTTCGTAGTGGCAAACAGCCAGGGAAGTGATTGTTTTCTGTTGAATATAACGATAAAGAGTTGATATATTCATTACAAAGAGAATGCGAATTCCAATATATTTATTTATACGAGATGTTTTTGAAATAAGTACATACATTCAGCACATTGATATGATACAGTCTAACGAATATTTCCATAATATCAGATATTTTCTAATTCTCCTGATTAACGGAAAATCTTGTCACAAAATCCTGAGGTGCCAGAACTGGAGAAATATAAGGCATCAATTTAACTCTCTTCTCTATTTATTCATTTATTTGTTTATTTATTTCGACTATTGCATCACATTTTTTCTCAATATTATATTATTGAATAATTTTGATTGGATTTTTCATTTTCCATCCTTGGGAAACTCCTTGGTTTATATTTAGTATTTTAGATTCACAATCACTGATTTTAGTACTGACAGTCTTTTTTTTAATATGTTTTCAAGAGATTGTTTTCAATACTTCTGATGACCATTGAATTAAGGTTTTTTTAGGAGAATATTGTGGTCAACTGTATCAAATGCTTTTTAAGCTTCATAAAAATAGCTAGTGGTGTATTACATCTCAACTGGTCTTTCAGGATTTCTTGCAATTTGAATGATCTGAATAATAATGAGGTTGAGAATGTTGTAACTGATGCTGACTTAAACGGTGGTACTGTAACATAATATGTCTGTTTCCAGATGGGAAGAACGCAGGGCTGATTACTTGGAGCATCTGGCCCAAAGAATGCTCGATAAAGAATTCAAGGAGTTGATAATGAGCGACGAAGCCCTCAATTTATTCTGTTTCGTCGAAGATGTTTATGAGACGAGAGTCGGCCCAAATGATGCCAACCTCAATATAATTGATATGATGCGAGGAATCGAAACAAAATATCACGACGAGCTGCTGAATCTCGATAAGGTAAACTATTTCTTTCCCTTAATTCTAATAAGACCCAATATATAATTTTCCATCAAAGAAATAAACAAAATATTGATTTGAATATTAGAATAAAAAATAAAAGATTGAAACATACTGCCTACACCAAATACCTTGGTATTTGGATTGATGAAAAGTTAACACGGAACAAGAATATTGGCATGCTATAAGAAAAAAATTCCCCCATAGTTGGGGCCTTAAGAAGATGTCCAAAACTTCTCCCAAATATAGCAAATACCGTTCTATACTCTCACATCCTTAGTAAAATGAACCATCTCATAAATATTTGGGGTTCATGTTCCAAGAATAATTTCAACAAAATATCTGTACCATATAAAAAAGCATTGGAAGTACTGTATCGTCTTCCATATGACACCCCATCAAATCAACTTTATAAAGAAACAAATACCTACATTTTCTTTGGAAGAGCACTATCTGATAAATACTCTCAAAATTTCTTTTGATATTATCAACAAACACCTCAAATCTAACTTCATATTGGTAAGGAATTCTCAAATCCATGAACATCATACTAGACAATATGACTTGTTTCATCTTGATGCTGCTCATTCTACACTTGGTCAAAAAAAGTTCACTCACGGAGCTATCTCAAAATTCAATAAATTACCTGATGATATCAAAAGTTGCACAAATATCACCCAATTCAAAATCAAAGTCAAGAAACATATCCTCTTGCAAAGAGAAAATCAAACCTGCGTGAATGATTTCTCATTGACTAATTTATTTCATCATGTCATAATGTACTTTTCATGAGCTTTTTGTTTTTTTTTTCATTCTGTTGTTTATTTCAATAACTATAATTTAATTTGATAACGCATGAATAATCTCATACCAGATATGAATTTGTCTGATTATTCATGTTATTCCATTGTAAATGTTAATGATTAAATTTATATTTATATGAGATGCAATGTAATGTTTATAGCAAAGAATGAATGAAATAAATAAATATTATTTCAATATTAGTCGGCTTAGGTCTACACGGAAAAAAAGGATTTGTGGCATCAACAAATTATTTATGCTTGAATTATTTTTGTTGGACTGAGCAATTTTTTGTTGAATCAACCAGATACATGATTATTTCATGGAAGCAGCTTGTTCAAATCAAGAATGTAGTCTGATTGAATCAAAAGAATAATATCAATTCCATCAACAAAATATATGGTTTTCTCAAAAACAAATTATGTCGATCCAAAATAATGTCGATGTTGATTCAACTAGAAACATTTCGTTGATTTGATGAAACAATGATCATTTCGATGCGGATATATCTTTGAAACAACATAAAAGTTTTCTTCCATTGTAGCAATGAACTCGTTTCTAACCGATCATTTGCTTCAATAGAGCGAAGACATATGTGATATCAAGGAAATATTCTGTTCATTTCACATCAAGTAAAATTTTTGCCTCTAGAAGGCGATCATTCTGCCTCGTCTATGCCTGCCTCGAATTCATTATATACGTGAAGCCTGATTCTTCGTGTTTGAAATATCAGCTGGATAAATCGAACTTAGGATGATTAGCAATCCGTAATAATTTTGCATCAGCTGAAGAGAAGTAAAGACTGAAGATCTATGCTAGAAGTCATCTAGATTCCTAGTTCAGTTCATTCTATTGATGTGAAATTTCACAAAATTCCCGAATTAATACTGAATTTGGTTCAAAAAAACAATTTTTCGAATGGAAATACAGTTTCTCTTGAATCAACGAAATAATTCACTGAATCAACACAATATTCAATTGAATCAACCAAATATTTCATTGAATCAACCAAATAATTCATTGAATCAACTAAATATTTATTTGAATCAACCAAATATCTCATTGAATCAACTAAAAATTTGATTCAATCAAAATCTTGTTATTTTTAATCAAACAAAATGATTGTTTGAGCCAATTCAATATCTCATCATAAACAATTCATGGATATGCTTGATTGAATAAGATCCAGAGCAAGACATATTTACTCAATTCAAACCTCAAATTCGATCTGAAACAAGATATAGATGGCTCATTTCAAGATTATATTTTGTCGTGCATATACGACACTTTTATTCGCTTCTTTCAATAAATTTTGCTTGATTCAACAATTCCTATTTTTCCGTGTTAACTGGTAAGCCAGCCTGAAGTTTTCGAAGTATTCCTTGCTATTACTCACATTTCTAATAACATTACTCAAAGTGTATGATGTTATAGTATATCCAATATCAATTGTAGAATATCCCGCACTATGCGGCGTCGGCGTGTTTTAAGTTTCCTTCGAAGTGACTGCAGGTGCGGCACAAGATTCTGCAATTGTTTTTTAGGATTCAACTTCTAATTCTGAGCTGAGTGGCATTTGCAGAAATGATAAAAATATGTCACTCAAGGATTCAAAGTTGACGTGTCTCACCATTTCCTCAAAGAATACTCCTGACTACTTATTATTATTGATATTTTCTTGTTCGAAGGTGCCAAGAGACCAAGTAGCTTTGCTGTCAGAAAGCAGTTATGAAGAACAAATCAGAGTCATGAGACTAGCTGAGAAGGCCTCCAAGCAATACGCGGAATTAGAGAGACTCAATTATCGTCTCATGAAAGCTGTTGGTCCTCCATTCGAAAAACCGAAAGGAAAAGGTATTTTCTTTTAATGATTCTGAATATTAGTAGTAGTGGAAATGTGATTTCAACAAGCAGAACCAGGGCCTACTCTAAGAGTAGGCCCAGGCAGAACCCAGATAGCACAATGTCATTCATAGAACGTCCATAGGATATTCTTAGAGAATATTTGAATGAACTCAGTATATTCTCACAATATGATACAAATATTCTAGGGACGTTTTATGAACAGTCGGAATGGACTGTTTGAAATATTCTGAGAATATTCCTAGAATATTGAACGAGAAGGAAGAAAATTAAAAAAAGCTTGCTCCGATGGAGATGCGAACCTACTATCTTGTGATTGAATTTCCACGAATCTGCTTTGAAGTCTGTTTATTCTTTCAGCATATAAATACATAACACTTTGACACATTCCACAATGCATATAGTCCCGGTGTGTGAGTTGTATAGAGGTAAAGTTTATGCAAAGTCAGTTGAACAGATCATCAAACGAATGCCGGGCCGCGCTGCCGCACTCTTTGAACTTTCAAAGGGACCGACGGCTTGCGATGATGTGTTTTTCCAACTGACTTTGCATAAACTATAGCTGGTGTTGGCCAGGGCATGTGAATGTTAGTGCAATGCGTTCGTATCAGAGGCCGGTCTCCTAGGGCATGGACTTTATATCGGCAGTCTCACTAGATTCATTCGGATTCCGATTTCAGAACTGTTCAAGACTTGTTCTCGAACTGCGTAGAACTAGTACGCAGTCGTTTCGAATCCTAGGACTGTTTCAGAATGGTTCACAAATTATGAAAACCCGAACGCGGCACAAGAGAACCTCTGAGAACATAACCTCTATTAAGAACCTGAAAAAAGTGAATAGTTTGGGACCTGTATCTTTATTCAAATGATATTCGGAAGCTTCAAACTCTCCTTTGAGTGTATTCACAATATCTCTGGGAACCCTCTGTGGAGAAATGGTGAATATAGTCCATCATAACAAAATAGGAAAGTCAGCCTCATGTGGGTTCCAGGACACTCTGGTATCCCGGGGAACGAGGAGGTAGACAGACTAGCCAAGATCGGTTCAGGAATGACACCCATTGGACCAGAACCGATATTGGGAATACCCAATAGTACGGCTATGTCCTTCATGAAGGAAATGTTACAGAGGCAGTTCCTTGAAATATGGCGGGACACACCAGGAATGAGACAATCAAAGCTCCATATAGAGGAATCTTCAAAAAGGCTCACGAGAGAGATCCTGTCACTTAATAGAAGGGATCTCAAGATGGTAGTTGGGTTCTCAACTGGGCACAACCACCTTAACAGGCACCTAGAACTCATAGGGATCAAAGATGATCCCATCTGCAGATGGTGCTTGGAGGATGCTGAAACATCATAACACATACTCACTTAATGCCCCGCGCTGGTGCATCAGAGGAAAGCTGCCTTTGGGAGCATTGTACTGCACCCAAAGGATGTGAAAGTGACTCAGCTGAGGAAGCTGCTGAATTTCGTCAAAGAAATCGGCATGCCCAGCTGATTCACAGGACAAGTGGGCGCACAATGGGCCCGACTGAAGAGGCCTGAGTGCAGGGGTCTACGCACCCGCCCACCTGTGCAGAGAAGAAGAAGAAGAAGAAGAAGTCCATCATAACATTCGTAGCTAGATTTTCAATACTGTTTTGTCCCTTGTACCTACATGAATTTCGACACCCACCTGAAATGTTCAATGAATTGTGTATCTGAATGTAATGGCAAAGTCTCCTTGACATAATCCTCCATTTTTTGGTTAATATAACGAAAGTTCGAGAATTTCAGATTAGGTAGAATATTTTCAGCAACTCCAGCAGTGTCAGGGTGAACATAATAAATGTTGCTAAAAGAATAGGAACATAATTATCGTTTATTTCGATATGATTCAGAATATTCGAAAATAATATTCTCAGAATATTCAAAAAGAATTCTGAGACTGAGACAACTAGAATGTTCATAGAATATTGGTTGCAGAATGAGAATATTCTATGATCATTCTGAGAACATTTTATAAGGGAATTCTGAAATAAGTATATTTGAACGTTGTCAGAATATTTTAAAAATATTCTGTGCTGTCTGGGAAGCGTTTTCTACTACCTACTACACGATAAAATACTGTTACCACATGCTATGGGGTTCAGCACCTGAACATACGCTGATGCTCTTGAATTTCAAACAGAGACGAGCATTTCACTCTCCTTTGAACACAGTAGGGAAGTCTTCGAAAATCTCGGATCATTCCATCACCAGCAATACCAGTCAGACGAACTCGACAAGTCTAGTCAGCACATACTTTAACCTCGAGATATGTCGAACAAGTTTGTATCAAAACTAAGAAAGCTGAGAAAATATAATAATTATCTACGTCCTCACCCTATATCTTTTTTTTTTTTTTTTTTTTTTTTTTTTTTTTTTTTTTTTTTTTTTCATCGCTTGGAGCGCACGAGAGGGAATCCCTATAATGTTCAAAGAACATCGTGCGTTCCTAGGGAGGATAGGGATAGGAGGTAGGTATTGGAATTCTTTTTGAACTTCTGGAGATTATATGTTGTTGGGAACACTTCCACAGGCAATGAATTCCAGAGCCTAGCCGTTCTATAGATGAAGGAGTTTTGATAAAGTGCTGTTCGGCATCTTTCGAGGTTGACAACGAAGGGATGTGCTGACTGGGCTTGTCTAGTTCGTCTGACTGGTATTGCTAGTGAAGGGATGATAGCAGAGATTTCCGAAGAACATTTCCCGTGGAAGTATCGATAGAAAAGTGAAAGGTCGCCGACCTTTCTACGGTGTTCCAATGATGTCAAAGAGCGAGTGAGTGTGGCGTCACCCACCAAGCGGATGGCTCTTCTCTGGATGGGATCTAAGAGCATCAGCGTATGTTTCGGTGCTGAACCCCATATGTGGGAACAGTATTCTAGAACAGGCCGTATCTGCGCTTTGTAGATCATGAGGAGCTGTTGAGGTGTAAAGTAGCATTTCGCACGGAACAAGAATCCGAGTTTTTGTGAAGCAGCTTTTGCGATGGATCTGACATGATTATCCCATGAAAGAGTGTTGCTGATGGAAATACCGAGCATAGATATAGTGGGTTTGGTGGGGATGGTGGAGCCAGACATTACAATGTCGGGCATACTGAGTTCCGCCTTTCTAGAGAAAATACAGGCTTGAGTTTTGGTGGCGTTGAATTCAACTAGGTTGTTGGTTCCCCAGGCTGTGATTTCAGCAAGGTCTTCATTGACAGCATTGACCTGCCTGCGCCGTGTGTTCTTAGTTTCCTGGGAAGAAATAGGAATTCTGGAAGAGAACGCTGTATGGAGGGTACTATCATCTGCAAAGCTGTGGATGGGGCAAGTTGTTACTCCCAACAGATCATTGATATGAAGAAGGAATAATGTTGGTGCCAAAATTGATCCTTGTGGAACGCCGGAATTGATGCCAATTGTATCAGACGATACACCGTCCACCACTACATGAAGCGATCTGCCTGAAAGAAAACTCGATAAGAGATGGCATAGCTGAGGTGGTAAGCCGTATGATGGTAGTTTGTGGAGGAGTCCTTCGTGCCAAACACGGTCAAATGCTTTCGATATGTCCAAAGCGACAGCTAGAGATTCCCCGTGTTTTTCTAATGAAGCTTGCCATAAATGGGTGACGTAGGCAAGTAGATCTCCAGTAGATCTTCGGTGGCGAAAGCCGTATTGTCTATCATTGATGATTCCCGAGCTCTCCAGATATTTGATGAGCTCAATGTTGATGGCTTTCTCCATAACTTTGGAGATTACTGATAACAGGGCAATGGGCCTGTAGTTGTTGGGCAGGTTCTTGTTCCCTTTTTTGGGGATTGGTTGGACTCTAGCTGTCTTCCAGCATGATGGAAAAATACCCGACCTGTACGAGACGGTAAACAACTTGCAGAGAATCGGTGTTAATTCTGGTGCACATTTTTTGAGGATAATGGGTGGAATTCCATCAGGACCGTTAGCCTTATTCGTTTTGAGACCAAGCAAAATTCGTTTGATAGTGCGTTGACGGAAGACGATTTCGGGCATTCGACTCTCAACGGGTGGAATGTCTGGCGGCACTTTTCCTTGGGAATCTAAAGTAGAGTTTGCTGCGAAAATCTCTGCAAACATATTTGCTTTCTCCTGCGATGTTGTTGCTAATGTGCCGTCGGATTTGGACAGTGGTGGAAATGAACTATTAGTGAAATTTCCTAGGAACACTCGATATTTTCTTCGAAAATAATAGAGATTCTTTTTGGTGCAAATATTTCATTAGGTTCCCAATTTTCATAATTATCTGAGAAGATATCATTGCTTCTTGGGTTAGATCCTGATATTCCTGACCGCACAGTTAATGGTATTGTGTCTTGTCAGTTTGAGTATGAATATATTGTAATTGCCTAATTCTGGAAATTGTAAGAATTATCATAGGACAACAACACATCAACTCAACGATTCTCTGGACAGGTTGATCACGTTCATTGCATTTTAACTGATCATTAGCTTAACGATTTCAAGTTCAACATAGCTCCAGGCTAGATCCAGGTAGGTCGTTTTGAACTTTTGGAGATTTTGAGTTCTTGTGAAAACTCCCTTCGACAGATAATTCCATAGCTTTGCCGTTCTGTGAACAATAGAGTTCTGGTGAAGAGTTGTTCGACATATCTCGAGGATTTGCTGACAGGCCATGTCGAATACATCTGGTATTGCTAGTGATGGAATCATAGCAAAGATGTCTGTAGAACATTTCCCGTGAAACTATCTATAGAAAAGTGGAAGGTTGCCAACTTTCCTACGGTGTTCCTATGAATTCAGAGAATTAGTGATTGTGGCATCCCCAACCAGGCGAATAGGTCGTCGCTAAATGTAATCTATGAAAATTGAATGTTGGTGGTGTTGAATTCAACTAGGTTGTTGGTTCTTCAGGTTGCAATGGAATATCTTCATTGACAGCGTTGAGCTGCCTTTGTCGTGAGTTGTTTCTTGGAAAGGAATGAGAAATATGTTAGGGAACGCAGTATGGAAAGTACTGTCATCTGCGGAGCAGTTGGTAGGAAAGGTGGTTACTCCCAACAGATCAATGATGTGAAGTAGGAATAATATCAGGTATGGTATCAAGACGATACTCCGTCCACCACCACATGGAGCGATTTGCCTGAAGGAAAAGTCGATAAAAGATGGCATAGCTGAGATGGTGAGCTGTGTGAGGGTATAGTTTGTGAAGAAGTCCTTGGTGCAGAACACGGTCGAATGCTTTCGAAATATCTGATGCCACTGCCACATGCCCATGTTTTCCTAATAGATATGGGTAACGTGAGTAAATAATTCTCCATCAGTTGAGGCTCGATGACAGAAGCTCAATGTTGATGGCTTCCTCTATTACTTTGGGAATAAATTCAACTGTGGTGCATACTTTTTGAGAATAATGGATGGAATTCTAACAGGAACCGTTAGCCTTATTCGTCTGACAGTGCTTTAGTGAGAGACGATTTTGGGTAATCGACTCTCAACGGGAGGAATATCTGGTGGCAATCTTCCCTGGAGGTCTAAGGTGGAGTTTAATGCACATATTTCTGCGATGTTGTTGCTAATGTACCGTTGACCTCAAAGAGTGATAAGAATGTCCTTCAGACTGCTTCAGCTATGGACCAAAACGAACGAGAGAGTTTGAAGTTGTATCCTTCTTTCGATGCATTTATTGTATGGCTGCAGTTATTCCTGGATTCAATATATTTTGTTCTAGTCATGGGGTTAGGGTGTTGGCACCAAAGGTAGGTTGTTTGTTTCGAGGCAACAGCTCTAGAGCAGTTTTGTAGGTGATGATATATTCAAAGAATGAGGTATGTATGTGCCCATTCCTAGCGTGATCTCGGGTATTAACGCATTTAACTTGACACTTTGAAGGATTCTCAGAATCGAAACATGTTCTGTGCCAAGGACACTCAGAGAAAAACTTGTTTTTGAGTAGATAACAATGACAACAATCTAGTCCTTTCCTATATATCTAGTAACGGGAAAACGTACTTCGAGGACTAAGCCAGAAAAGTGATACTTCATCGAAGGAAACTTGTCCAGGAAATGGGTACTGCTAGATTATGTCACAATCGAACACGATCGCAAATATGAACGAACCAGAGATATGCTTATTCGCAGCTCCACTAAACGTCGATCGCTAACGAATCAGCATTCGCACATGTCTGTGATAGCCGGTCAGTGACATAAGCACATTCCACTGGTCAGTAGCGTATCTGAGAGTGCTAGGGTACCTTCACTTCCCGGACGGTTGCCGACAAAAAACATATTATTGACATTCTCGTTCATCGAGCATGCTTCCAATTTTCAGTACCGAAGAACCGATCGCGCCCCATCCAGCCGCTTCCTCCCGCTCTTCCGCCCCGTCGTACCCTCACTGTGGAGGAGGAGGAGTACCTCAAGCACTTCACGGACTTCTGTGAGTTCACGGACGACCCCACGCAGTACGGCATCGACACGACGGTACCACCGAAAGCGGTGGATGTGCGGTACGACCGCCGGAACAAGTCTACTAAGGCGTCCAGATACGTCAGTCGGGTCAAGGGCATTTCCAACATCGAAAAGATGATCATGACGAATACATAGTTTTTTGTGGCTCATTAATACATAGATTCAAAATCAAGGAAAGTGTGAAACTTTTTTTTTGAATAAAACTCAGATAGTAATCATACACAATGTTTTTGTAAAAAAAAGTATTCTGCTTTCTCAACACACTACCAGCAGTGTTAAATTTGGCAGCCGATACCCATAGCAACAAACGGCCGTCAAACCAAACGTCACTTCCGAAGATGACATTTATAAACTACAAATAACAGAGTTGCGGAGCGGGGAACCGATCTGTGACGTAACTGTTTAACCGTCGTGGTTCGTGCTCGGGCATTCAAATTGTGGATTTCGTTTTGATAATTTCTTTCACGTGAAAAACTAGTTGAAAATCATCAATATAAAGTGAAATAACCGGCAATAATTCACAAGCAGCCACTTTAGTAGATTTGTTAATCTCATGTGGAATCATTTCATCCCCACTTTCACTACTGATTTTCATTTTATAAGATTTATAAAGCGGAAAACACACACCAATGGTACATGACAATCACTGTAATGATAAAATACATAGTTCATGCCATAGATACCCAAAATCGTCCCGACAAGAACAAGAATCGTCCCGAAAGTATAGAAATCGTTTCGAAAGTGGAACATATCGTCCCGAAAGTGAAAAGGATGATCCATAAAGTATAGAAATCGTTTCGAAAGTGCAAATATCGTCCCGAAAATAAAAAGAATCGTCCTTGAAGTATTGAAATCGTTTCAAAAGTTGAAAGATCGTCGAAAAAGTAATAAAAATCGTCTGGTAAGTAAAGAAATCGTTCAAAACCGGAAAAAATCGCCACGAAAGTAGAAAAGAATCGTCCCGAAAGTATAGAAATCATTTCGAAAGTGGAACATATCGTCCCGAAAGTGAAAAGGATTCCCGAAAGTATAAAAATCGTTTTGAAAGTACAAATATCGTCCCGAAAGTAAAAAGAATCGTCCCAAGAGTATTATTCGAAAGAAGATTGTAGATTGTAGATTGTAGATGGGTCGTATAGGCTGAGAGACCTCTCGATCACTGCGACCTAGAAGACCTATTGTGATTACCCCTATCTAGTTTTGGTTCTCTAATCCTAGACTTCTGATGAAGCCTACGATTTTCCTGACGGTTGACTTTTCCACTCAGCAGGGGTGAGATAGACCTGTTCTAGGTGGTTCAGCCTTTGGCGGACTAATACTTCACATGAGCAAAGTATGTGTTCCGCGGTTTCGGTCGCATTGTTACAAAAGCGGCAAGTGTCAGTCTCCGCCAGTCCCATCTTTTTGAGGTGATACCTCAGAGGGCCGTGTCCTGTTAGAAAGCCTGTGATAAGCTTTAGCTCTGGTTTGCTGAGGCTGAGTAGCTCTTTGGCTCGGTTCTGCGAATGGTTGATGAACCTTTTCGCTTGTCGTTGACCTGGAGTTCCTCTTCAGTAGGAGGACTTTTCAATTTCTTCCCATTTCCCGAGTTCTCACTTTAGGTGACATTTGCTTATCCCACAAAAAGGCTCAGGACAAAAAGTGCAGATGCTGCACCTTTTTTTGCAAGGCGATCAGCTGCCTCATTTCCTTTGATTCCTTCATGCCCTGGAACCCACATAAGTGTGACTTTGTTGCCCTTTCCCAGTTGCATGAGTGTTTCAAATCAGTCCCATGTAATCTCTGATGTGAAAACGAATGATTTTAGGGCTTTTAGTGCGGCTTGGCTGTCTGAGCAGATATATATGTTGGCACCCCTCAGACCTTTGCTCAGGCACCTTTGGGCGCAAAGGTTGATGGCATGTATTTCAGCTTGGAAGATAGTGGGGGAGTGACCTAAGGCTTCAAATAGCCTACATCCTGGTCCATATACACCCGCGCCTACCCCTTCTTCCATTTTCGAACCATCGGTGTACCAAACAAGGGAACCTCTGTCCAGCTGAGGCTCGGCGGAACCGTACGTAGGGCGGCTTTTTATAACCACTTCAAAGGTATGATCGAAACTGAGCCTGGCTGGCATTATGTCCGATGGTTGGGGCGCAGATTGTACTTCTTGTAGAATGACCATGTGACCAGTGACATCACCTGGTCTGGCCAATTCAGTGGAATTCAGTCTGTATGCACTGAGAGCTGCAGTCCTCTTGATAAAAATATCCAAGGGTAGTAGGTCAAGCATAGCTTCCACTGCTGCAGTAGGGTACGTACGCATAGCCCCTGTGATCCCAAGACATATTCGAGAGTAGAAAAATCGTCGAGAAAGTAAAGAAATCGTTCTGGATGGGAAAAATCGACCCGAAAGTGAAGAGGATCATTGAAAAGTATAGAAATCGTTTCGATAGTGCAAATATCGTTCCGAAAGGAAAAATAATCCTCCCGAAAGTATTGAAATCGTTTCGAAAGAGGAACATATTGTCACGAAAGTGTAAAGGATCGTTCCGAAAGTAATGAAATCGTTTTGAATGTATAAATATCGTCCCGAAAGTGACAAGAATAGTACCGAATGTATCGAAATCGCTTCGAAAGTATAAAAATCGTCCAGATAGTAATAAGTATCGTCCCGAAAGTGGAGAAATTCTTCAGAACGGGAAAAAATCGTCCCGAAAGGGAAAAGAAGCGCCACGGAAGTATAGAAATAGTTTTGAAAGTGAAATAAATCGTCCCGGAAATAGTTACTTTAGCTTCTTCGCACCCTCACCGTGGAGAAGGAGCAGTACCTCAAGCACTTCAGGGACTTCATCGACACGACGGTACCATCGAAGGCGATATAGGATGGACGTGTGGCGTCCAGACTCCAGATAAGTCAGCCGGGTCAAGGGCATTTCTAACATCGAAAAAATGATGAGTGAATGAAACTCTGATAGTAAGGACAGTGACGCTATTTTCCAGATATAATTTCACACAATCATCAATGAATTATAACAGAAATTCGTGAAACAAATGTAGAATTTCAGTTTTTCTGTCAATATGTTCAGAGAAAAACGAATTATTAATTTCGCAAAATATTGTGGTATATACCCTTCAGAAACAAGATAAGTAAGCCACTGAATTCACTTTGGAATCCACCAACATTCTGTCCAAATTTTTCAATGATAGAATATAAAGATACCTCGATGTGTGCGTACATACATATCTCGAAAAGGGGCCTAGGCAATTATTTTTGTATATACCATGGGCATCACAGGCATACATAGAGAAGTGAGGGTTAATCAACTGTATGCACGTGTATATATACAAATAATCATACAAAATTTTTCGTAGCAGAGAGCTATCGACTGCATATACTGTCGTAAACACGAAATGTCTGATATTAAAAAAAATACATCTAAAAAACTTTTTCATTCTAGTAGCTCCATCATGCTACTAACTTTCATTAACAATTTATTGTTGAGGTTTTCACGAATATACAATCCTATCCAGTTTTCTTAAGAATGCATCATTATTTTAACTGGTTGAGGATAAGTCATTCACGTGATGTTCAATTCTGTCTTGACTTTAATTCACATCTGTAGCATGATATACTCTCTCCTTGAAACGTCCAATCTGTGTAACCTATGTGTTCACTTATAATGGGGGAGACCACTGATTTTTTAAAACGACATTGTCGCGAACTCTATACTGAAAAACTACAAGTGAATTAATTTTGAATTTTTTCATTCATGCTAAGACCATGAAAAAAATAAATTGGAATATTTTCATTTCAAAACACACAATTCCTGCGCTATTTGAATTTTTGTCAATTCATTGGTGTGACTGAAGCGCGACGTCTTAGTTCCAACACGCCTATTGCCCTTGAAGTGACCAATTACACTGCAACACTGCAGAATGACGAGGTATCAGAGAGGGATAGCTACAGTTCGGGACTAACACGTCACGGCTCCACCATCATATTTGCCTTTTTGAAATATAGAATGAAATATGCTGATTTTAAAACAATATATATATTCGATTCCCTTCAACTTCAACTCATAATATTGATTGTACATGGAACGTAAATCATGATTCGTCGATTGAAAGAGGTTTGCACAGATTTCTTTCCTCAGTGGTCTTCCCCATTACACGAGAGCTTTCTTTTTGTAAAAGTAAACTTGACATGTATCAATAAGAATTTTGTTGTCTTGCAATTTGACGAAAAAAACTGCCTCTGAAAAAATTACCATAGGACCTGGCCAGCGTAGCCTCGTGGTTAGAGCGTCAATGTTCTATCCACGTCGGATTACCTGGCCTAAGAGAGTGTTTGGGATCACACGTTAAAAGGTAAGACCCCCGTCATTCCTTGCTCGCACAAGTCTCTTGAAGACTTCTGAGGGTTGCTCGTAAGGGGGCAAACGAATGATGGAAAGAACAATTTTAAAAATTATGTAGAAAGTACTAATTATAATATAAAACAAGCTCCTAGGCCTAGACAAAAAATATACAAAACGAAATAGACAAACACAAAGGTGAGTCAACCTCTCCCAAATGTACCAATGCTTGTATAGAAATTCGCAATATTATATAAACACATGTTGATCAGATCATTTTTCATTTTTGTTTTGAATTTTCCTATGGGCAAGGATGATAGAAATTCTGGTACTGCATTATATAAGTCTATGCCTAGAACTCTCGATTTGTTCATTTTATTTCGAGACTGAAGTATCTTGTTTTTACCTTTTGTATTATGCGAGTGAACATCCTTATGGGAGGATAATTCGTTTATATTGCTTTCAATATGCATAAGATTTTCGAAGACAATCAACGAGAGCAGTAACAGTAATCCCAATTCCTGAAAGATAGGTGTAACTTGCAAAACTCAGGGGGTAAGGATTATTGAACTGAGTTGGGATTTTCCCCTGAGGTGGCTGTTTATCAGCCTGAAATCCACTAGGTGATTTGAATTTCATGAGTTTTTGCTACAAAAGTTAGTATTTTTAGTGCCTTGTTCTATACAGCAGGAATAAGACACTGGTAGCTCAGCAGGACACTGGGGTGGGTACGTTAGGCACAGTAAAGAAAATCCTTATATTTTTCTACCAAAATATCACCTTTAATATTCTGCATACACTCTTGTATGTGAATTTAACAAAACTATATGGCTAACATACATAATCTATACTGACCAAAACCAACTCTCTGGTTCAGTAGATGAT